AACATCATATTATGTTTGCGCCAAAATTCTTGACTTTGCGCGACGTTTTTACCACAATGCATGGACTAGAACTTGGCCCAAATCATTACTCTCTTGAAGTTAGTTTCACTAGCTATAACCACTTTTTTTATTTTTTTTTTATTTTATGAAATAGCTATAACCTCATTTATATGGGCCCTAATTTGTTAGAGACGTTTTCTCAGCCCATATATAAATTAGTTTTTGGTTTATGAGAGTAACGCTGGGCCATTGCTAATGTAGATTAGAGATCAACAACTTTATAGATGTATTTTTGGGGTCAATTTGGAAACTAACCACTTATGTGGTAGTTTCATTCACTTTGAAACAATCACTTTTAATGAATAAAAAGACAATTTTATCCCAAACAACTAGTTACGTTGTCATTGATTAACTTGAGTTAATCAGTTAATCATTGATTAACTGATGTTAATTAACTGAAGTTAATCGGTGATTCAGAAATATTTAATCACTGGTTAACTAGAGTTGAATAAGTATTTAATTACTGATTAACTTGGTGATTAATTGAAGGGTTGGAAATTTATATACAAATGAAGGGTAATATAGACTTTATACCACTTGAAAAAAATGAAATACTATGCCAAAAACCAACAACCACTTTTTAGAAATGTTATATAGTAAAATCACGTGTTTTTAGGAGAATCTGAAATTGAAAACGGAAACAAAGCAAATAGACAACGTATGAAGCTTAATTCTTGAAATTCAACACTTCAAAAAGTTCATCAATAGAACTCAATGTTCATACACAAAATAGTAAATAGAAAAGCCTAAGGTAAAACTAACGTCATGAATCAGCCTTAGGGTTTTCTATTTACTATTTTGTGTATGAACATTGAGTTCTACTAATGGAACTTTTTGAAGTGTTGAATTTCTAGAATTAATCTTCATACGTTGTCGCCAAAGATCAAGGGGTAACGACCTAGTTGGCTTCTGAAGTGATGCCTCCGTTTTGTTGTATTATGAACTCGGAAGGCATCAAGTATTAGACCACCTTCGCATCCTTGATCCATCGGTTCGGTGTTGCAGTCGAGGATTTCTTGCTCTGACAAAGATATCAGTTTACCTGTGGTAATCTGAGTGACTCCTGCCGTTTCTATTTTGTGTTTGTAACAATAAAAAATATTTTGGACTATCACCTACTTTTTCTAGACCAAGTCATTGTATGTGTCACACCTATAAGAAAAGGAAGGAAAAAAAAAAAATCACTTGCATGGATGTGTCACACCTAGCTCAGTAGTCCACAATTGAAGCCCATATGTGTAAGATTTATGTAGATTTGAAAGTTGATAATAAACTAAGATGCTACAACATTAGTTGTAAGCTATCAATAAATCATACCGAGCATTGTAGTACTATCTATATTATTAACGAAAAAAATAGTTTGAAATTCAACTCTCTAGAAGTCGTATTCCCCTAGTTCGCCTTATTAGTTCTACCTTCTCGACACTTCTTACCACACTGGTTGATCGGACGATGTTTCTTCATTTGACCTCATGATCAATTTACTAGGCCTCCTCATGTATCCTTAACGATAAGCCTTAAACTCCTGGTTGGTTTGGTCCGCAAATTCGTTAATGCTTAGCTTATAGCTACGGGGTCTATTTGGCCGGCCGTCGGCGTTGAATGACTCTATGAACTCCACATTTTCTCTAAAGATATTGAATCGCCTCTCTTTCTCCGCAGCATCATTGTAGACCTTTCCATATCTTAACATCCACTGCTCATGTCTTTCAGCCATGGATGCCTCGAGGACTTTTCGAGACGCTTCTTGACAAGTACAAATTGCTAAGATGAAGAACATGGCTGCAATATAACGCGTTTTCCGAATTGAGACCATCTCCTTGATCAGAAGCAAAGACGTGCTTATGGTGAAAGATCCAAAGAGGTTTTGTGAATGTGAGTTTACTAGAGAATAATGAAGTTATATAGTCACAATGTACTAAGGTTAGGACTGTCATCGTCTATGGCGTAGAGAAATGGAAAGTCATGCTTTGATTGAGATTTCTTTTTTTTTTTTTTTTTTTTTTTTTTTTTTTTATCTCTCTTTAACTTCAATTTCCTAATTGCTTGGCGAATGGAGATTGATCAGACCTGACTCCAGAAGTAACCGACAAACTGCCTATGATTTTGATTTGGCCCGGAGTTTGTGTTCCGTACATGTTGGGGGTTTAGGTTTTTGATTATGTTAAGCTTGGTGTTTGTTTTTAGATGAAAGAAACAAGAGTTTAGAAACAAAAATTTTTATCCTACGTATTTTATTAAGGAGACATCGTCTAAATACAAACTTAATCACAGCCATATAAGAATATTAGACAACTCACTTAAACAGTTTAACCTTTTAAGATGAAAGCGAAATACCTTATAAAGTGCAATTCTTCTCCCTCACTTCTCTCATCAAATTCTAATATAGTATCAGAACTCATTATTCAAACGAGCTGGGTCAATCCATCAAAACAAGATTGATAACTCCTAACAAAGCACCATCTTGGTTAATATTTTAAGATGGAAGTCCAATATATTATAAAGTCTCCTCCCTCACTTCTCTCCTCAAACTCTAATAGATTATACCGGGGCACCTTATTATAGGGTCTTATAGGATTGTTAATAGCAACGATGGAATTTACACCATATATATTATGCATATTATTATATGGGGTTATATGATATTGTAAAAAAGATTTTTTGATGCATTCAAGCACTGTGCATAACTATTTGGCGTGAAATTTTAGTTCAACGTCTATTGTAAAAATGACGGAAAATAAGAAATGAATCGTGCGTAACAGTTAAATCATTGGAATAAGCTGTAAATGTAGTTAGAGAACTATTTAACGTTATAACATATATTCAGCAGAATACACTAACACGCGTATCGGATAGAATATACAAAGAACATATGTGCACCACACCAAGCCTTCTTTATAATCAGTTTGATATTCCGCTCTGAAAGCCACTGAAATGTCCATTTTAGCCTCAATTAAATGGTTCATGATTTCGTTTTTTTTTTTCTTTTTTTTTAAACAAATTTTAATATGGAACTGAAGGATTAACTTTGCCACACTATGAGAAAGATTGAAAGGATCAAAATGAGATTTGTTTAAAAGTTTGATAAAATGAGATTTGTGTCGTAATCTGTGTTGACGTCATGAACGTTGTGATGTTCGCTCAGTGTCGTCTTATAAAGAGTTTCTTAATGGCGACCGGAGGCGCGGAGTGAAGAAGCTTACTCATTGCTACATTTATGGCTCTCATCTTGGCAATGAGACTCTTCTCCAAGCAATCTGGTAGATGGTTCACAGAAGAGGAAGTACTTGAACAATCCTCTCTGTAGTTGGGTCGTTTTCTATTTGCCTCTTGGTTTTGTATTGCTATGAACTATTTAATTGGTTAACAACAGATTTGATTATAAGGGCCATTATACTTGTCTTTGTTTTATACAGCTCCATCAATGGTCCTCTATCAAGTCTTGTAAGTTCCGTCATTTTCTCAAAAACTGAAACTACGAGGCTAAAGATTGGAATAATTTTAGTAACTACAAAGATAAATGGTAAATTTGTAATTCACAAAATTTTTACATGTAACATTGCTAAAAATACAAGGTTTATCAAATAGATATCGAATATTTATGAATAATATACTTAAGAAATACATGATTTACTAATATTTACCCAATATTTCTTAATTGACTGACTGTTTACATGATTTTACTTGGTAATAACATTTATTTACTCGCAAATATAGTATTTATTCGATAAATGTTGTGTTTATCGAACGTATGTATTTTTGTATTTTTAGTCCTGGTGATTTATCAAACTATCCAACAGCTTATCTCTCTCTCTTTTATTTATCCTCTAAAAGTAATAATAATTAAATAAGAAAATAAAAGAAAGAACAAGAGACAAAGATTTCATGTGATCATAAAAAAGAATAAGGGATCCAATGCCAAATCCTATTTAATTAAAAACTTCAGTTAATCTTAATAGAGTATAGAACTCTAGTGAAGACTCAAAAATCCAATATCGTTGACTAAACAAAGAGATTAATATGACAAATTACTCATGTTATTAACTATCAAGTATATATTGATATCAATCTGGAAGATAAGCTTGAAGTTGTTAAACCTATTTACCACCAAATACAAAATAAAGAAGATAAGCTTTACCTAACCTATTATTTACCTGCTTCAAGTGAAATGTGAATTATATTATAAATTCCGAGTTTCGTCAATTTATCATGTAATGTATTCACTAGATAATCAGGGTGATGAGGAACAAAGAAGAGCTAATGTGGAGACAAAATATGATAAATAACGTACCTGTTAGAGATAAATATAGAAAGTAGTAATTAATTAAATTCTTTTCTATTTGATTTGATTTGAGTTTTTTTTTTTTTTTTTTGATAAGCCTTCTATTTATCTACTTATTTATTTATTTATTTTTAAATTGATAACCTTCTATTTTACTATCTTATATAAAGTCTAATTAAGTTTCGCCAAAACATTCTCAGTAAGATTGCTTTTTCTTAATCTTGCTTTTTTCCATTATTGTGAATATGTTTCTTGATTAATGATATTGATCAGTGTTTAGAATTTCTCTCCTTTGTTCTTCTTCCCTCTATAAATCTTAATTTTCTCTTCTCTCCCCCCTCTCTGTTGGTGGTCTTTTCATCACAGCGTTTCAAATTTTCTTATCGGTCAAGCTTATTTTTCTTTGCTATAAAGATTTCAATTTATTCTTGTCGTCTAAATATATATGTTAATTCAGCTTCACTAGTTTCTTAGTCGAATTAGGATACACTCTATATGTATAATATATATGTATATATTTATATGCTTGATTCTGCTGAGCCTTCCATACTTTAATTTAGTTAATATTTATCTCTCTCTCTCTCTTGATTCTTCTTCTACTTTCTCTCTCTAAATTCTCCAAGAACTTCAAGAGAGGCTTTCTTTCTCCAACTTAGCCATGGAAAAAACCATTCCCTCCGTGAATGAAAGATGGAGATTCTGCGGGTGTGCATGCTTTTTAGGCTTTATCACTCTGTTACTCATGCTCAACCAAAACACCCTTGTGACTCTCCAAAACCAAAACCAAGGCATATTGTCACCAATATCGTCACCAATTACACCCAATGTGACAGACACAGAAGAGTTGCAAGTCTTGGGGGTGTCAGATCCCATTGAAGATGATCAGAAGCAGATAAAGATTGATCAAGAAAAGTGCAACATCTTTGAAGGTGAATGGATTTACTATCCCGAGGGAAGTCCTATGTACGACGGAGCCAAGTGTCCGTTTCTTAGCGAGCAAGTTAGCTGCCAGAGGAATGGACGGCTGGATTTCGACTACGAGAAGTGGACTTGGGAAGCAAAAGGGTGTCACATTCCAAGGTAAAAAATAATAATCATAATCATAATCATAATCGATATTCAATTCAAAGTTTCAACATTGAGTCCAAGTTTTATTCGCTTTCAATGGTAAAACTTGAAACTTGAATCCAAGTTTTGACAAGGTTTCTTTTGTAATTCAGGCATAATGTAGGCAAAGACATGTTGGAGAAGCTGAGAGGGAAGAGAATGATTATAGTTGGTGATTCTCTTAACAGAAACCAGTTTGAATCCATGGCTTGTCTTCTTTATACTTCTTCAAACCCTTCTCAAGCCCATGTTGACGTGAATAGTGGGTCCTACAAGGTCTTGAGGGCAAAGGTGATAACTGAGTTCAATTGCGTTACTAGGTGTTGTTTATGTTTCCAGTTCGGACTACATATCAAACCTTTTTACTGCTACGTTGTTTTCTTTTATAAAAATTTAAATTCATATTCAAAAATTCCGATTCGAACCTGATCAATCTTCTAGTTTTGTTGTCTTTGAGAATGAACCTTAATACAAGTGTACTGAGATGCTTGTTGATTTAAATAGGAGTATAATTGTTCTGTGGAGTTCTATTGGAGCCCTTTTCTGGTGAAACTTGAAGACAAGAAAAATGATGGAGATCGGATTCTGAAACTTGACAAACTCTCTGACTCGTTTAAGAAGTGGCAAGGTGCAGATATCATGGTTTTCAACACTGGTCATTGGTGGGTTCATCAAGGAAAACTCAAGGCGTAAGTTTTCTTTTCTTCAATATTACTTCCTTTGTCTTATGATTTCACTTATTTATTTTTTGCTTCTTAATTAAAAAAAAAAAAAAGGAAAAGAACAGACAACTTATCATCCCGTCTCTCATCTCTTTCGTCTATAGCATCTCTTTGCTAGACTTGTGATTTCACTTATTTGATACACAAAAGCAATCTCCTTTTTATTTATAGGAAAGATTTACCAATATTGTAAGCTTCTAAACATTATATCATATCATAATTAAACAGAACGAAAATAATAAAAAATACTGGTATGACGAAATTCGCTTATAAATCTTATAGTTCATAGATAAATTATTATCTGTAAGGTACTTGCGTTTTAGCAGTGGATTTTCTTTTAATTATTCTCACTTTGTAGATGTTATTAAGTTAAAATTGTTGGTGCCAATACCCTTGAATTCTCATAAACCAAAAAAACAAAAATTGCAGGTGGGACTATTTTCAGTACAAGGGAAAGCGGATGGAGAAGATGGAGGCTGAAGAAGCACTTGAGGTGGCTATGAAGACTTGGGCTCGTTGGATCGAGAAGATCGTCAACCCGGCCAAAACAAGAGTGTTCTTCCGGAGCATATCTCCATCGCACAAAGGAAATCAATGGTGCTACAACGTAACGAAGCCGAACACAGACAATTCTTATGTCAAACCGTTTGCCAAACAAATGATGAATATTGTGGAAAGAACAGTTCGGGAGATGAAGACTCCGGTGACGTACCTGAACATCACCAAGTTGTCCGAGTACAGAAGGGACGCACACCCGAGCATTTACAGAACAATGCAGGGAAAGAATTTGGTAGCAACACATCAAAAGGAGCCTCAAAATTTGGCTGATTGCAACCATTGGTGTGTGCCTGGACTGCCAGATACCTGGAACAGGCTGATATTTGCATCTATACCCCCAGAAATCTCCAAAGACATCTCTCCTTAAACATTATCTTTTTTTTTTTTTTTTGATAAATGTGCAAAGAGCTAACAGAAACTGACACATAAAAGAAGTGTTTTGCAAACTTATTTATTTTTGGTTAGAAATACAAATTTCTTTCTTTACTTTATTTTTGTTGAATCTCACTAGGCTCCTAGCCTTCTCTAGTCACGTGTTTACTATAATGCAACATAAAGCATTACAACTCTTCTAAGCATTCTCCTCAAACCAAAGCAGCTTTGAATGATAAACAACTGATAATAAAAAGAGGACAAATTTAAAACCAAAGCACAGGGAACAGTATTCGGTTAAGAAAAATTAAAAAGAAAAGATAAGGACGAGAAAAAATATCTGGGGGATAACGAAAAGAAATTCAAATAGTAGTATAATTATTTAATAAGGATTTAAGGACAACGCAGAGAAGTAGATGATAACTGTGTTGTATCATATCTTTGAAGTAAATAGAACCTGAACAGACCTTTATGCATGATCTTTGTAGTAATAACTTATTTTAATCACATTCTAAAGCAGGGAATTTTCGGAGTTTTACCCAGTTACTAACAAAGTCTGCAGGGCATAGACATTCTCACTGCCGATACTAGTGTAATGCACAGAGCCTTAATCTGCAAGATAAAGGCAATAGAAGCAACATAAAGGATTATATGTAAGAGCTGAAATGGGTATCTAGAGAAGTTCCCACTCGGATTCGCAAGAATCGAGATGTGGTAATTTCTTTCTCTCCTTCACGATAAGCGTCGGTGCCAAAGCCTCCCCAAAGTCTTGATTCAGTTTTTTATTGTCCCCATACTGTAACACGAGCTGCTCATACTCCTCCTTCCTTGCTGACCTCATTCTTGAATAAAGTGCGTCCCGAATTTTCTTCTGAAACAAAAAATTCAGTTATAGATAATTTAAGTTGTGTGTGTGTGTGTGTGAGAGAGAGAGAGAGAGAGAGAACCTTGTAGGGCCTCCATTTGCCTCCGCGTTGAGGGAGAATATGAAGTTCGTCCTCATTCACCAACACACAAGTTTCCTCAAGCTTCACCTTGTCTCTTTGTTGAATGGTCTCGGTTCCATGTTCAGTGGCAATCTCACTCTCAGTTATATTAAGATTCCAGTCATCAAATTTCCCTAAAAATTTTGAATGGAATCAGTTAGTATATAATAAGCACAAATGAAGGGTGCACAACAGAAAAATTTAAAAAAAAAAAAAAAAAAAAAAAAAAAAAAAAACCCATATGCAAAATAGCATAGACGACACAACAAAAATAAAAGTTGTAGATAGGTCATAGGGGATATTTTAAGGAAAAGTCATCAATTTCGTAACCAGTTAAGTAGTCATCAGACAAGGTGGGGAGTATACAAAATGACTATCAATGAAGAAAAATAGCAGAAACTACAGAATGATAACTTGTGTGTGTGTGTGTGTGTGTGTGTGTGTGAGAGAGAGAGAGAGAGAGAGAGAGAGAGAGTACTTGGAAGAGACACAAACACATCCTCATCAGCATACTTGTCGTTTCGTGCTTCTTCATTCTGAGAGGATCCTCCAGTAGAAGCAAGGCTATTACTCGAACACTTGCTAGTATAGTCACCATTTGCTTGTTCTGATAAGCCGCCACCAGATGGAACATCCATCTCATTTCCATCATATCCAACAGATTTTACCAAGATAATTTCACTTGACGCGTGGAAGCTACTTGATAAATCAGCCATACATTCACTTGAATTTTCAATTTCATCACAACTTTCTACTATAGAGTCAGAACTTGTATCTTCATTCACAGACGGGGCTTTTGTTGTACCTGTCTGATCCAATGAAATCTCATGAATTTCATTTACAAATTCAGAATATGATGACAATGGTCTACTCAAATGTTTTTCACGAGTGATTGCGCATGATGTCTCAGGTGGAATCAGTTTTTTGTCGCTTCGATTTTCATTGACACTCAAATTTGAACTACTATGCACGCTCACATCACGACATTTTTTTCTTGAACGCAAGTTAGAGCATGCTCCTTTTACACACTCCCCAGAAGGTCTACACATGTTATCCACATCACAACGTACATGGATAGACGGTGCAAGGTACACGTCTTTACTGTCGGAAGTTACCTTTAAGGTCCTAATCAACTGCTCATCATCAGCCTTTGCAGGCTTTTCCTTCTTAGCAACGTTTGGCTTTTTAGAAATCCCATCATCAGAATCTTGTTTTCCAATAAAACCACAGAGTGAAACTTTCTCAGAATCCTGTGAAGATGGTGGAAGCAAATCTTGCATCACATCTGAATAGAACCTTTTTACACTTGCGCCGACAGTCTGCACTTGATTCTCAACATATTTGACTGTGTCCTGCCCAAAGTAATAAAATGGACACTGATAAGGATGACGGAAGAAAACTACCAGACAAAGTTTAGGAACAAATTGACAAGCCCATGAGTTCATAGTTAATTAGGGCATGACATAAAGATACATCCATAATAACATAGAGAAGGGTTATCATACTGCCATTCTTCAATGAACATGACAGTAAAAAACAGTCATGTCAGAAGGACATCTTGGTGACATTTGAAGCCGTAATGGCCATGACGACGAGATGTTCTATAAATCACTTTGAATTGGCCTCATAGGTGGAATACTGGCAGCCGTCTTACTTGGGAATTCAAGATATTTACTTGGTGATCACTTAGGAGCCTAAATGGCGTGAAATGAAAGGACAGAGCTAAAAAGGGCATACCTGGTACATAATTTCTTCCACCTCCAAGCACATAGCTTCAAACTTTTGGTACACATTTCCAACCCAGGTGATTCCTTTTACATCCATAATGACCACAAATTAACCTCTGAGAACAAAGTTTGGGTGGGGGGGATGTGGGGTTGGCGTGGGATTCTGCTATTTCGTAGCAGTACTATTTCCCACTTCAAGACGGTACTAATCTGCAGGAAATTCAACAAAGATCAGCACAAGCTCAAAAGAAAAGAGCTTCTGCAGTGCTATTCAGTATCCAGTGAAATATATATACATATATTGGAAAAGAAAACTGCCATGATATGAAAAAGAAAGATCATTACAAACAGTGACTATTAGTCTAGTAACTAGTTCTACGCACACGTTCGTTTTTAAGTTTTCAGATTGCATACTCGTTTGTTCCTTACATCCGCAAAATTCATTTTCACATCGATAGAGCTAAGGGAAAGTTGCACACATAAGATACAAAGCTAGAATTTGAGGCAATAATCAACACTGGTTTTCAGTGAGCATAAAGTCAGCACAACGATCACTTGTTATTCTAATGGGATACAAGGACAATAATCACACACCAAGTAATAAAGCAGTTCAACAGCTATAAAACAAAATGATAACTTGCAATTCATTCAGCATCCTATAGTTAGAACAGAGAAAGTTATAGCCCCCTAGTATTCATTAGATTATAAGTTGAACAAAAAAGCCTTTCCACAAATACCAGCCAACCTATATAAAAGAGTAAAGGGAAAAAAAAATCAGGTTTCTTTCTATTATTTCCCCATCTGCAACCAAACACTAAACTCAACTTGTACTATTCCCCTTTAATGCCTCATAGAAAAGGTCCTAATTTGCATTATAATAGCTTTTACAGAGACGAAGGGAAAAAAAAAAAAAAAGAGTTTCATTTGAATATGAGAACTAAGATAAGAACCATAAGAACCACACGTATTAAGGAACAAAAAACACCTCAACAATTACAATCACAATCATGTCCTATTACAAACAGAAAGAATAATTCCTAAATATGGCATGTATACTAAACAAAACTAGACATAATAATAATATAAAGAGAGCCATCTATGCTCACCCAAAACATTCAATCAGTACATGATAAAAACAGGAACAAAATAAAAAGAAAAGAAAAACCCTTTTGTGAATTTTTTCTCTGAGAAGTTTTTATGATCATCCAGAAAGTTTAAAAAGCTTCAGAATTTACACGTAAAGAAGAGATGGTGAAGACCCAGAAGCCAAAAAAGCTTGAGAATTCAAAGATTTTTGGCCTGCCAAATACCCAATTTAGCTTTGCTTCTAAAGTTCCTAGAAACAATCAATCACAGGAAGTAGAACACATAGCGTATGTTAAAAAATATATAAATATATATAAAAATGAATATGAGCAAGTCTTTCCATTAAAGAAACATGAGACTCACACTTAGGTTCACTTGAAATTGGGCTTCTTCTTCGACCTTATGTTTGGTACACGTGTTATGTTTTTATGTTAAAAAAAAAAAAAAATGAAACTCAAAAGAAAGAAAAATGACGAGATAATTTATGACTTCAAAACAAATTTAATTTTTTAAATAATTCGACCTTCTCGCCTTTTCTTTCTCTTGTCGAGGCGTGGGACCCATCAATTGTTAATGTTTTCTATTTTTTCCGGTTTTTTCTCTTTTTTTAGTCCGTGGGTCCCAGGCGGGGTTGCAAGTTGGAGTTATTGGGCCTAATCTCTATATCCAAAGTTGAGCCCACATTAGCCCAAATTTATACTGACATTTTAGCAAATCGCAATCTTAACGACTGATTTTTATCAAAAGGGAATCATAACTGATAACAACCTTTATGTTGTTTGTTTGTTTGTCTTTTCTTTATAAAAAAAAAAAAAAATTTGAAATGAGATTATAACACTCCGGGTGCGTTTAAAAGTCATTTTAAAATAATTTTTTTATATGAAAACATTTTTAATTTCAGACATAAATTATTTTTAAAATTGTGTTTAGTAATTTTATTAAGAAATTATTTTTAGTGTAAAAAAACTCATTAATGTCTCTCTTTCTCTCTCTTCTCGATAGAGGAGAAAACAAAAATAAAAAATAAAAAATGACTAAAAGTGATTTTTCATTTCTCTCTCATTTTACACTAAACTAAAAAATCATTTTTATTTTTATTTTTATCTTTATTGTGACAAACGTCATTTTAAAAGTGTTTTCATTTTTTTTTTCAAAAAACGTGAAAAACAAAAATAGAATCGATTCCAAACACGGCCCTAATGTTTCATTTTTGTCCATTACTTTTTTCTTTTTCAAATAAATAAGAAAATCATCACATTTTTATGCAAGCCTAGACCAAATTAAGGTATATGCTATTAAAAAGGGGAAAAAAATTAGTAGTTGCCACCGAAAAACGAGAAACTTGAAATTGATCTGTGGCCTGCTCAAAATTGGACCCTTGCTTTCACTTTTCTAATATATATATATATTGCACAAAGCACAATAACATTCTTGTCCAATTAAGAACGAGTTTAAAGTGTTAATCTGAAAATAAATTACAAGTGACTCGTCTCGAGTGGGCAAAATTAACGGTCTCGAAAAGTAAATTCACATTAGGTCCAAAAAAAAAAAAAAGTGTAACTTCACATTAGGTAATGTTCAGCCAGCAGTATACAATATGGACCAAAACAGCGAAACCACATTAAAAATCAAGGTATTAGACTTAAGAGTATGAACATGTTCCCGTTTATTATAATTTCATATTAACCAGCTGTTTGAAAGTCCCCGAAATCGTCATCCGGTATATCTTGTGTACTTTGATTTTCAGAAGAATCTGCCTCCTTAAAATCCTGTTTCGTTGATTCCGAGGTGCCATGCTTAGAAGCTGCCTCGACACTGAACTTGGTCGGCGAGTTTGATGGCGACTTCTGAGCGGTGGCGGAAGGCGAAAGCGGGCCTGGGGGAGGAGGCGGTGGTTCGATACAGATCTTAATCTCTTTTTGGGTACCCTTGTTCTCAGGTGATGAAGTGTTCGAAGCCTGATCGAGAGACTTGGACTTCACAATTTGACCAATTTTCTGTTGACAACAAAAGGCAAAACCAGTGAAAATTCAATTAGAAATACTCTAATTTGTACCATAAGTCATATAAGGACATTGACAAGGAAATGGCAAATGCGGTAGTTTACGCTGTTCTTCAATTGTAGAACAAGTGTCTCCCCGTCTTTCAAGCTGTAATCAACTGAAGATGTTTTCTGGAATTGTTGTTCCATCTCCTCTGCGGTCTTCTTCTTGTTCAGATATCTTCAAAACAATTAAAAAGGGTATGAGAGTCATGTCGAAAATCCAGTGTGCAATACGCATTAGATAAGTTGTTACTAAAGACGGCAGAAATGCTAAGAGTTGCTAGTAGTAGATGGAGGATACTTCATGTGATCATGCAGAGCTGCTTGGAAGTCATAAGCTTCTGTTCTTTCTCTAAAACCTATGCCAATGAACGCATGCCGAAGACGACCCCCTGCATAAATTTCAAACTAACGAGCATTATACCTTACCTCCAATTGGGTATAGAAAAGCAAAGAAAGATGGGCAAAATTAGCATCAAAAGAGGCTTTATTCGGCAAATCGAGAACTTAATAACGTTTCAGGATTCTAGTATGAAAAAGTCCTACTGCTAGTTGCTTTCAGAACATCAGCAATTATGAAAGGCAGGTTTGGGATAACCTTAACTTTTATGTTTAAGCAATAGAAGAAGAGAAGCATAAGTTTTTAATCAGGGTTTAGATAGTGCATGAAAAAGAGCTTTTTTTTTACTTCAGATTTGCTTTTGAACCTGTTTGATTAAATAACTCATATTGTCATAAAAACTAATGTAATAAAAGGATATGTAAGGAATTTTGAATTTGTTATTCACAAATAAAAGGTTAAAGATGTAAATAAAGAAGCTTTTCACGAGCTCTTTCTAATAAGCACAAAGAAGTTGGCTTGTTCCAAAAGGCTTAAAAGAAGCTTTTTGACTAAATAAGCCAAAAACAGCTCTTTTTTTTAAGCCATTCTAAACAGGCTCGAAATGTGTGGTATTCTTAAAAATTCCACTCAGAGTGTATGTTCCTAAACATTTCACTTAGTATGTATCAAAAAATAAATAAATAAATCACTTCGTAGTTAGCATTCTAGCATCAATAAGTCATACTCCTTTTAGTTCCACTAAATTTTAGTCAATTGGGGGTCGGAGGAAAAATAGATCTAGTTTGGTCTGTATTGATGGCAAAAAAATTAATTGTCAAAGCAATTACTAGTTAATCTAATGGGATCAGACGGAAAGGACAAACATTTTCACAAAGAATTTGAGACAAGAATTGAGGATAGAAAGCTCACCGATGTTCTCCTCTATACGAAGAACAAAATATCTGCGTCAGAAATAAATATCATTTAGACATCCTACACAAACTAAATCACAATAACAATGAGTAGAAGTATTACAGGCTAAAGAAAATGTATACTCGAGGGTAGGACCGGCAATTTCGGACACGACACGATGAAACGAGACGAAAACAACACGAGATAAATGAGTTTGGACTGCACGATTATTAATTGGGTCATTAACGGACTGGCACGAATAACACGAAAATAAATGGGCTGGATTCGTGCCAGCCCGTTCAACACGCTTAACCCATTTAGTTATACGGGCCGTTATCGAGCCGACACGGCCCAGCCCGACCCGTTTATTAAGCCCATATATATATAGACAAAACCCTACTTATGACTCAGTCTCTGGAAGCTTAATAAGATTGACAAGGTATTTTTCTGTTCTCAATTTTTCTTCAGCAAAAGCGACGAGACAGAGGAAGTAATCTTGGTAAGATTGATAAGGTATTTTTCTGTTCTCAATTTTTTTGCTCTGCCACTCTTGTTCTATATTGCACAAGGTTTGTCAAGTTATGTACTTGCCGATGTGGCAACTGCATTTTTTTGAGTGTGATAGAGTTTTATGAAGAGATAATATTGTTCATCAACATTTCAATGCTTCCTTAGGTTCTTCCATTAATAAGCATATTGCTTCATGAGAAACTAAATTTTATCTGTTCACTTGTATTTTATTGGTCTAAAGATACTTAAAGGAAAAGGAGAAAAAAAAAGAACTCTAGTCTTCCTATACAGTTTATCATTGATATGAACAGTATTCATTGTGGAACATATAATACGGGCAAAATGTTGTTATTTTGTTCGATTTGGTCTTATAGAGTTAGGTATATTTATTATTTTTTTGTTTATTTACTGTCTTAGCTTATGTTATTTTAAGTCTTAACCATATAAGTTATCTAATATGTGTAGAAAACAACAAATCGATTCGTGAAGCTGTGGATGAAATTACTGAAGATGTTTTTACTTTGGATATCAATGAGCCCACTTCTAGTTCATCTCAAAATTCTCACAACCTCAACACCTCAAATGCAATGGAAGGTAACAAGAATTTCCTTGTGGCATGCCCAAGCTATAAATTTCCTTTCATTAATAAAATGTTTTCTTTTTCCATGAATAGGTTAAAGCAATTGGAAACTAATTTTGGTTTTTAGAGCATAGTTGGGCATTCAACCTCAAGGCTCAAAGAAGACATTTTCCTATATTTATTTTATATTTTATGCACTTAAAAATTCAAATGTTTGGTTATGTTTTCAAACTTCTTTAGATGTTTGGTAATTGGTATGTTTTGAAACATATATACTTGATAATCTAGTAGTATCATATTATATATGTGTATTTGATATTTGGATATTTTAATGTGTGTTGGTTATTATGCATGATTTTAACTATAAGTGATATTAAGTAGTCAATTAATATAATTTTGAATACAATATAAAATTCTACTATTTTTGCTAGTCGGGTCATAAACGTGTTTTTTTTCGTGTCGGCCTGTCACGGCACGTTTAGTAATCGTGTTCGCGTGTCGTGTCGTGTTAACCGTGTTATTAGCGTTTCGTGTTCGTGTTTGAGTTTCTAACACGTTTATTAATCGTGTCGTGTTCGTGTTCACTATAATCGTGTCGTGTTTGAATTCACTATAATTGTGTCGTACCGTAATCGTGCCGGCCCGAACACGACACGTAAACACGAATTGCCAGCCCTACTCGAGAGGACTAAATGTCATTCTCGAAATTGAGATGTCGATCTGACATTGACTCTCCAATCATGGTCAGATTATATTTTCAGCAATAAAATGGACCAACCTGCTGCTATCAATTACAGGTTCAACGGGGTGTGGCTCTCCATTTCTCAAAAATGCTCGAGCATACAATTCGCCTGCCAAGAAAAATACAAATATCATGCTAGAAGCTTCATATATGATATGATAAATGTTGATATAGAACATATATACTATTGTAAACTACTAAAAATCATTCTCACCTGTTTTCTTATCTTCAAGTCTGATAATGCACTCCTCCCCTTTGCTGATTACTTTCAATACTCCTTCCCACACCCATTTATTTACATCCCACTCATCAGCCCTGAAATGAACTTTGTGGACGTAAAATCTAAAAACTCATCTCTAACAAGTTAACAAAAGAAAATTTGGCATTGGCCAATGCCATTTTTTTTAATCTTTTCTCGCTTGGTTCAATAGATGAGTTAATAGTTATATATCTAGGATATAAGGGCACAAACAGAATGAAACATCTTCATCTGACAGAGTGCCACATATCATTACTGAACATTTAAACAGCCAAAGGATGAAATTATTTAAGATCTCCATGTCTTTTTATTTCTTGGAGATTGAGCTCAAAATTTGGAAAGAATCAAGCCAAGAGAGATACAGAATTACGCTACTCAGAAGTTTGCAATCCTAAATTCTCTAGAAAAATCTTTTACATTTACTAAATTCACTCTGATCTTAATTCCTACCCTATTCCAAAACAGGAATTCCAAGGTTCAAAGTAATCAGGAACAAACAATGTAAGCACGTAGGAGTATAGGACCTTTCTTTTGTAGTATCATTTCAAATAGATCAAAACTAATGCAATTATGCGAATTTGATATCAACAATTTGATACAAGTATGGCAAAAAACCTGTAGGAAGCTGCACTTTTCCTTGGCGGTATCTGCAGAAAGAACACAAAAATTAGCTCAATTTAACAACTAAGTTCCATATCCATAATTTATTTATGTCAAAACCCAAAAAGAAATGGGAGAAACAAATGCTTCATTCACAAGTTTTCATTTTTATTCTATGGTCAAAAATTAGTCATTGCCAAAAACCCTGATGATAATTCTTGCCCAACAGTACAATTAAACACATAAATATTATGTTTGATAGTAATAATAAGCAGCAAAAAATTCAAAAAAAAATACAAAAAGGGTCCTGATTATAATCTATCACCGAAGGCTTGAATCTTGATCTAAAACTCTACAGGAACAAAATGCACATACAATTATAGTTCAAAAAACGATCATCATTTATCCAGTCCAATCTAATAAAACCCAAGTAAGAAATCCCAAGAAAACTTACCAAGTAGACATAACATTCAGAGACTTGAAAGAGAACAAGCTCTAGAGCTTCCGTGTCCTCCTCTTCCACTCCTTCTTGATCGCTTGGAGTCTTCTGTTCTTTCTCCATCTTCTAGAAACACCCAGATTCGTTCAGATATAACTTTGAAAATCTGCAAAAAAAAGACTCGCCGAGGTCGGAGCTCAGATGGGTGTTTCTCGGAAGCAACTGGGTCTCTTACGAATTCAAGAATCGATAACTACAAGGTCCCGTCTCTCTCTCTCTCCCCCCTTCTTCTTCTCTGTTACGAAGAGCTTTTTAGCCTTGTATCACTGTGTAAGAGCAATAAAATAAAAATGTTCTGGGAACCGTAAGATTAATTACGTGTCCTAATCGTAGCCCTGGATCTAAAACCTATCGGCTGTTTTGTTTTCTGCTGGTCAAGAGATTTGAAGACTTTCTTGAACTAAATATCAACGGTCTTGATGGAGTGAAAAGAGGTTTGGTTAGGTTGGTGGAAAAGATTAGGAGAGGTTGCTTGAATTTTAAGGATTATCATAGGCTCTGTTTAGTTCGTTGATTCGAGTTTTTAATTTGAGTTGAGATGTGACTTTATGTGAGAACTTTTACTATAGCAAAAAAGTTATATGTGACTGTTTCTGAGAGCTTTTTACTGTAACAAAACTCGAATCGGTGAAATGAACATGGCCCTAGTTATACATGTGTTTGTTCGGGTTGTTAACTTGTTTGCGTATGAAGACCTAATAAGCAATTTTAAGAAAATTTTAGGCTTAGTTCATTTCACTGATTCAAATTTTTAATTTCAGTTTTATTATAGTTAAAAGCTCTCATAAAAAGTCACTTCTAACATTTTTCTGCTACAGTTAAAAGTTCTTACATAAAGGGTGCGTTTAGAACTCGTTCTAAAATTATTTTTATTTTTTGTATGAAAATGGAAATGAAAACGTTTTCAATCTCAGACAAAAATTATTTTTGTAAATGTGTTTAGTAGTTTTATCAAGAGATTATTTTCAGTATAAAAAATCCATTAATGTCTCTCTCTCTACTCGAGAGAGGAGAAAACAGAAACAAACAATGAAAAATGATTACAAATCGTTTTTCATTTCTCTCTCATTTTACACTAAATCAAAAAATCGTTTTCATTTTCATTTTTTATCTTTAATTATATAAAACGTCATTTCTCTTTTGTTTTCATTTTTACTTTCTCAAAAGACGTAAAAAACATAAACAAAGATAACTCTAAACACAACCAAAGTCACATCTAAACTCGAATCAGTAAACTGAATGAGACCTTAATTTTTTATTGATTTATTACTCTCTAAATTTGGTAAAATATATATTTAAATAGAGCACTTTTAAAAAGAAAAAAAAAGTTTCTAATGAAGTAAATTAGACAGTAAATTATTTAGTGGGTACACATGATAGTATTTAAGTGGTTTGGTAGGAAACCCCATGTTTAGACATGAATACATTTAAGAAAAAAAGGGAGATTGAGGAAAATAATTCAAGATTTGAGAGAAATTAAAATTAATAGGTCAATGTTTAAGAAAAGTTAATAAATAGGCCAATGTGATGTAAATCTAGATTTACAACTAGCTAAAATTCTAAAAATACTCTCTTGATAAATCCTAAATTTACTGTTTATATATGAGATTTATCAAGTATATTTAAGATTTACCATTAGAATTTGTAATGTTCTTTTTTTCTAGTAATACGAACATGATAAATTTAGAATTTACTATTAGATTTTTATCTTATCCTTGGTAATACAAACTTAGAGAATCATGGATATACCTAGATTTACTAAAAGAAAAATAAAAAATAACAAGCAAATGATAAAATTAGAAAATAAAAAATTTAAAAACATGAAATGGTCTATTGATTTCTATACATTGATAAATTGACCATTTACTTCCATAAATTTTAAATGTAAGCCTATTTCCTACCATGTCTCAGAAAAAAAATTATTTCAGTTGGTCAATTACGGAAAAGGATATTTTTTTAAAGCACACTTGAAAAATAACATTATTGTAAGCTAAATATGTGTAAACAAGTAGAACATGTATGAATAAAATTATATTTAGCCGGCAAATTAAACATGAAATTAATTTAGCGATACATACTAAAAACACTATTTAAGAGCAACACTGAAAAAAAAAAGTTTAAATAGAGACATATTTCAGATATATTACCCTAAATAGTAAAAGAAAAAAGAAAATTACCTCAATAGGAATTAATTAGGAAAAAAAGCATATATGAAAAAATAGTAGTTGAAAAGAGTACATGAAAAGACCGTCAAAAAAGAGACGTTCGAGGAAAAAAAAATTGTTTTAGTAGGGCATTTGATTTTTTTTTTAAAAAAAGTAATTTAGAAGTTTCACTTTCGATATAATAAGAATTAGATGAAAAAATTTAAATAGGGAAACATGAAAAAAAAAAAAAATATATATATATATATATATATACATGTATACATATATATTAATATGAGCAAACAAGAAACAAATAGTTCAAAAAAGCGCATCAAAAAGAATTAAACCGTGAAAAAGCATTTGATAAAAAACGAAAAAAGAAAACAAAAAAACTTAGGTAATGATATAGTTTTATAAGAAACGCACTGTAATAACTAAACTAAACCGTGAAAAAGCATTTGATAAAAAACGAAACAAAGAAAAAAAAATAATTAATAGTATAATTTTAGAAGAAACATACTGTAATAACTAAACTATAGAGACCTTTCTAGAAGAAAACAAATAATTATAAAGAAAACAAATAAGAAAAGAAGAAAAATAAGAATCAACAAAAATAAAAGAAAAAAGACAAAAAAAAAAGATGGGAGCTTAACACTTGACAAATGGAGGATAGTAGAGCAAAAGAAACTTGCCTCTTTTATCTATTTAGACTTAGAGCCCGTTCACTTCGCTGATTCGAGTTTGTAATTCGAGTTGAGATGTGATTTTATGTGAGAGCTTTTTACTGTAGCAAAAAAGTTAGATGTGACTGTTTCTGACAGCTTTTTACTGTAACAAAACTCGAATTCTAAATTTGAATCGGCGAAATGAACGAGGCCTTAGAATGTGTTAGAATGATAAACTAATTCTTTAATTTGATTAGAATTATAAAATCAATACCTGAATGAGAATTATATTGTTTGGTTAACAACGGAATGTAATAGAAGTAAGTTATATTTTGATAAAAATACCCTTGATTAATAATCATAAATAATTCAATATTTAATTAATTAAAATAGTAAAAAATAATTTAATTATTGAAAAAAACTATTTATTTGAAGGATAAAATTTAGAAACTATATTTCAAGGGTAAAAAAATAATATTTAATTTTTTTATGTAATAATAAAGTATCATAGGTTCAAATATAATCACTTTTGACATATATCATGATATATATAGAGTAAAATGATCACTTTGACACCAGTCAATAATAAAAATGAATCAATATATCATTCAACTACATATATGATCTCAAAATATAGTCATACACCAAAACTAATAGATTCACTTATATATAGCATCAATTACCTGTCAAGTCAAGCAAGTTCATAGTTAATACAATTTAATAAAATGAAACATAATCTTAATTAGTTAGGATATCAAAAGAGAATGCATATTACATACATTATAATATCTTTTATGTAACCATGAAACTAAATAACCACCCTTATATGTAGCCTCGGAACCCCTACCGGTTACACGATCATACATAGATCTACCAAAGATGATGATCCTTCCACAAGGCATGCTGACAGCAACATAATCAAGTCTAGGAGGAGGAACCACAGCACTCTGGCTCCCAACACTGGTGAACGCACTACACTTAAGTTGCCCCAACTGTATAAACGGGGCTTTTATTTCAAACTTCAAAACAAGAACATAAAAAAGCTATAGAATTTCTATAGAATACTGATTGGTGGTGTATTTCTTACAATACGACTTCTAAATAGAAAGGCTTTGTAGAGAAATTTAGACATGGGTTTTGAAATTTAAGATGTATAAAAGAAACTCACAAATTGTGGACAGCCAATTTTTGCATAAACTAAAGAAAGCTCGAGTCTCTGTACAAGAAATAATAAAATTCAAGCTCGAGTCTCACAGCATAACAAAATCTGGCAAGAACAAACAAAATCAAATTCGTGACAACAAAAGAAAAATCACGAAAAAAAATCTCACGGCACTCAACAGTTCTATACTTGTTCGAAGCTCGAGCTTCAAACTTCAAATCCTCAACATATGAAGGAGATTTCGGATGAAGATGGCGAAAAAAATGAAGGTTTTTACTTTGTAGGGTTTGCGAGAAGAAGAAGATGGTGAGAGTCTGAAAGAGGGAGAATATGTGTACAGAAATTACCCTGAAGAGCCTATCTTGTTGACTGCACAAGACAAGGAGGAGCGCCGGAAACAACTAGGCTGGAGATGGAGGAGCACCAGAAAGACCAGGGCTGGAGCTGGCGGAAGTGTCAAGAGGGAGATGGGGATATTTTGGACAAAAAGGAAATAAAGCCTGAATGAAAAAGCATTTCCATTGGCCCCCTAAAGAAATGAGTATTCACTCAAATTGAGTGAATTGGCTTTCCATAGGAAAGCCTTTTCCAACCCAAAAGATGAAACCAAATGATGGAATTGAATGGAACGGATTTTCTTTTCCATTCCATTACTTCCGACCAAACACACCTTAACCTTAAGAGCGAATAGATTTTTTGGGATGAACAAAATGTGCGAAGCCTTCCTTACCCTCCACCCCTACGTACTTTTCTTTATAGAAAATAATTGCACTTATTCTAAAGTTATAAAGGGTATGAATTTAAATTTTTATCTAATTAATATTCTTTTAATTAATATAATTATTTAATTAAAAGATATATTATTTAATAATAAAGAGTAAAAATTTAAACCCATATACTCTTATGGTATTTGTATATTTTCCTTTCTCTTTTTTTTCCTTTTTTAAATCTTTTTTCTTTTTTATTTTTGGTTTTTTGTTGGTTTTTTCTTTTTATTTTATTTCTTTTTCCTCCCTTATCTTTTTATATTACATCTTTTAACCTTTTTCCTGTATATGTTTTCAAATATATCCTTATTTAAATACTTTTCTTATGGTTATCTCAAATATTATTTTTAGTTGCCCTATTAAAATAATTTATTCTCAAATGTGTCCCTACATAAATTTTTTCTTGTGATCAACATAAATTTCGGGTTTAGCTGTGAAACTTTTCACACACTAATAAAGGTGCATAATATTTTGCACAAGCTTTTTTGTTTGTCTTTTTTTTCCTTGTTATTTTATTACATTTCTCTTTATTTCTTTCACCCTTTCTTTTTTTATTTCTCTTTTTACTTCTTTGTATAACTATGAGTAATCTTGATTTATAATATGAGTCAGGATTTTTACCATTTATTCTTGATTTATAACATTTTTAGTCAAATAATTACATTAACAAAATAGTATTTATCAAGAATAAATGGTAAAAGTTCAAACTCATGCACTCTTAAAAGTAAATTTTTCATTTTTTCTACAACTGTGGTTCATGCGCGCCGCACGCATCTAAATAGATTAATTTGTAAATGCGTCCAACTATGTACCTTAGTTTTACCTTCTAAACTATTTACCCTAAAAGAATTATGAAAAATCTTTGAGACATTAGTTTCGTTCAAATCTATCTATAATATTAATAGAATGACGACACGACATAGTTTGTAATAAACTACATGACTTAAATTTTGTTGCTACAGTACTATTTTCTTTTAAAAAAATTAAATTCAACTTATTTGTTACAATATTTTCTCTTAAATAATTCACTTTTAAACTCAAATCATAAAAAAAAAAAAAACAACCATTATTAATTTTTACACATTTATGGGATGTTTAGTTACACAAATTGAAGTGGACGTGGATTGAAAGGGACAAGATTTAAAGTGAGGATTCGTAGGTTATTGGGTTTGGAATGTGAGTAATTATGCATTCTATTCATACATTTACTTAAACTCAAAACGGAAAAGAGCTGTTATATATCTATTTATATAGTCTTTAACAGAAATTTTGTTTTAAGTTTTAAAAAGTAAATCATATACTTATTATTATAATAATGTTAATCATAATTGAAATAAAACAACAAAATTATAAATATAAGCCATCTAATGGAGTCTTAAGAAAAATAAAAATAAAACGTCGAAAATTGAAACATATTGATTTATTTTAATAAAAATAAATCATATAATTAATTTTAATGAAGCCAACAATAATTAGGATATTATTGTAATATTAATTTGATACATAATAATGAATTTAAGTTATAATTGCATTTTTTGCATTTTTTATCCAATATTTTGCAAGCAACTTTCGGGTGAGTTAGTAATTTAATATTACCATCAGAATTGTTGTTTGTAAATTATATATTTTTTAAATGATTCATCTCGTGATGTTATGTAAAATAATTATGCTATGATTACGCGTATTTAACCTTTCGATCTTTCATGTTATTCTCATTTTCATTAAACCCATTAGCGTGTGGATACCGTTGAACCTTTCTTGGATTTTTGGAACACTTTCAAGAATGCTGATCTCAATTCTCTCTTCAATCTTTCTTCACTATTAATCATCAAACACCAAAAGAGAGTGCTTGACAGTTCTGTATAGATAACCTCCCAGAGGCCACAATGACCAAGTCTATTTTTAGTAGAGTATTTACCCTCTGAGTCCCCAATGTAAATTCCATAACACCCTCCAAATATAAATTCATTATTTTCATGAAGAACTTATATCTATATAAATATATGATTCTCATTCACACACACACAAAAAATCATTAATTTCTTTTATCAGATTACCTCTTTTCTTTTCTTTTTCTTTTTTCTCCCCCGAAACCTCTCTGCATTTTCATTCCAAGTATATTTTTAGTAGAGTATTTGCCCTCTGAGTCCCCAATGTAAATTCCATAACACCCTCCAAATATAAATTCATTATTTTCATGAAGAACTTATATCTATATAAATATATGATTCTCGTTCACACACACACAAAAAATCATTAATTGCTTTTATCAGATTACCTCTTTTCTTTTCTTTTTCTCTTTTCTCCCCCGAAACCTCTCTGCATTTTCATTTGGCTGAAGAATGTTTTAGTTTTTATTTAACTTTTTCGTGTGCAATATTAAATGGCAACGCCTTCAATGAAACTACTGCAAATCATTATCGTCATTGCCAGCAATTTTCAGTGTCCAAAGCAAAACAGCCATTGGGCCGTCATATATATATATATATATATATATATATATATTCGACCTAATAGTTTGACCTTCTTTAGCAATAAAAGACAAGGTCACAAAACACAGATATATCCCCATCTTCCAACCCTCCTTGGTATCACCAAAAGCCCATTTTTAACGACCGTTTCAGTCCAAATAATAACTGCAAAAAAACCTAAACACTCACATGGCTGAGGCAAATTCTACAATAACAAACTTCTTTTAAGTTACACTACTAGGTCAAACAAACACCTCTTACTCTACTTACCTTACCTGAACCCACTAAGCTTTTTTTTATTTTATTTTTTTTTCCTTTTCTTCCAGTTTTTGAAACTGTCAAATCTGTTGTCAAATATTAATTACTGACGTCTTTTTGTCGGTTCCATGTAACATTAGCAACTAAACACTTGAAAACAAGTTTACCAATTTTTTTTTTTTTTCTAGAAAAAAAACAACTTTTTATACCAAAACTAGAAAATGGAATGACACAAATGCTTAGCCAGGGCTGCAACACATGCATGCACACAATTAATATCTTTGCAGCCTTAAGGTTTGCGTGTTCAAAGCAATGGCGGTTTGGTGCGTTACCTCATATTCTCTTCTCTATTTCCTCTCCTTTTTTTCCATTTTCTTCTCATCACACGAATTTCATATTTAATCTATACCATTTTTCCCTATTCTTCTCTGTTTCTCAATGGAATTACCGACCAAGAAATCGGAATATTCCGGCGGCGGCGGAGGCGATATAATCCGGTACCGAATCAGGACAGAAAAGATATCTTACAAACTACCTAGCCGAGTTCGAGAGAAATACGGTTGGTTGTTGCAAAGAGAAGTGACACCAACAACATACATTTTGAAGAACATAACTTGTGAGGCCAAAGCAGGGGAGATCTCTGCCATTGCCGGGCCAAGCGGGGCGGGGAAGACGACGTTGCTTGAAATACTCGCCGGAATGATCCCGTTAAAGAGTGTCACCGGCCATGTTCTTGTGAATGATCAGCCAATGAATGCCAAGAACTTCAGGAGGGTTTCGGGTTATGTCACACAAGATGAAGCTCTTTTCCCTCTTCTAACTGTTGAAGAGACTCTCATGTATAGCGCTCGTTTGAGAATGCACGGTGGAGTTGACAAGGCAATGAGCAGAGTGAGAGAGCTTCTAAAAGAGCTTGGATTGGAACATGTTGGCAATACAAGAATCGGCAGCGAATCGAACCGGGGAATATCCGGCGGAGAGAAACGGAGAGTTTCTATAGGAGTTGATCTTGTTCATGACCCTGCAGTGCTTTTGTTGGATGAACCAACTTCAGGTTTGGACTCTGCCTCGGCTCTTCATGTAGCTTTGTTGCTGAAATCCATGGCTAGTAAGCAAGGTAAGACTATCTTGCTGACAATTCACCAACCGGGTTTTCGAATTCTTCAGCTGTTTGATCAGATTTTGCTGTTATCAAATGGAAATCTTCTTCACCATGGATCACTAAACCAGTTGGAGAGTAGGCTTGGTTATGCGGGTTATTCGATTCCTCGCCATGTCAATGTTCTTGAGTTTGCCATTGAGGTGACAGAAGCTTTGGTGATAAGTGTTGAAGAAAGTGAGGTTGAGGATAATAGTGAGCTAGAAGAACAATGTGGATTGCTCAGAAAAAATCCAATCCCAAGTAAAGAAAACAAAGTTTTGTATGCAAATCCTCCACTTAAGGAGGTTTTGATTCTCACTCAAAGATTCTCAAAAAACATTTGTAGAACCAAACAGCTCTTTGCCGCGAGAATAATTCAAGCATTATTTGCAGGCTTTGTGCTTGGTACTATTTTCATGAAATCTACTCATGATGATGATCTGAGAAGGTTCGTATTCCATACGCAAATCGGGTTCTTCGCTTTCAGCCTCACTTTCTTGCTTTCTTCCACAACAGAAGGCTTGCCAATTTACCTGCAAGAGAGGAGAATCTTGATGAGAGAAACTTCAAGAGGGGCTTATAGAGTGTCTTCTTATGTGATCTCGAACACATTGGTGTTCCTTCCTTTCCTTCTCATCGTCGCTTTTCTTTACACCACGCCGGTGTACTGGCTCGTCGGATTGAGAAGGGAATTCGATGGATTCCTCTACTTCTCACTCGTGGTTTGGATGGTGATTTTGATGTCAAACTCTTATGTGGCTTGCTTTAGTGCTCTTGTGCCCAACTTCATCTCTGGAACGACCCTAGTCGCGGGGCTTATGGGATCTTTCTTTCTCTTTTCGGGGTATTTCATATCTAAAGAAGACATACCAAGGTACTGGATTTTCATGCATTACTTAAGTTTGTTTAAGTACCCTTTTGAGTGCTTTATAATAAACGAGTATGGAGGAGAGAAGGGCAGGCATAGATGCTTGGCGAGTCTCGGAGGCCAATGTGTTTTGTATGGAGACGAGTTTTTGGTGCAAAAAGGACTGAAACAATCTCAGAAATGGAGTAATCTGGGTGTGATGTTGGGATTCATACTTGGATACAGAATCCTTTGTTTTCTAATTTTGTGGTGCAGAACTAACAGAACCAGAAGTTAGGAGGTTTTTATCAACGGCCAAAAAAAAAAAAAAAAAAAAAAAAAAAAAAAAAAAGGAAAGGAAGAGATTGAAATTTGTATCTTCTTTTTCCTTTCAGTTTGTCTGTATATGAACCACTGGTTTCTGATTATAACTAATAATCAAGGTAATTTTGTGCCTCCACATCTATTTTTTATTAAGTTACAATGAGATAGTTATTCCTCTATTTAATAATTCTGCAGCTCACGCAGGAAGGAAAGAAGAATGACAAGTTATGGCTATTTTATTCTTGCTAAAGCAGTGCCAAAAAAAAATGCATTAAATAAATTGAAGTACAGGAATACTAATAGAAGCCATTTTTAAAGTCTATCTAATTCTTCTTAAACCCAAAAAAAAAAAAAAAAAAAAAAAAAAAAAAAAAAACCCCCCCCAACACAATCCTACTAACCAACAAATTCTCAAAACAACTTTTCCTTGCAAAAAATGTCTTGTATGACACAAACTTGGTACAATCTCTCTGTTTATATTACAATGGTTTATTCTATCAGCATAAGAGCTTGGAATATACAGCTAAACAGAAATATACAGAAGGGAAAAAAAAATTCTATTGGTAACTTTACCAGCAGCCTATATGCAGTATGCAAATGTACATGAATGGAAACCATACTATCATAAGAGATCTCCTAAAAAAGAACTTGAACTCTAAGGATTGAACACCGAAACCCTTCGCCTCTTATTCGAATGCGGACTTTTTAAGAACTCCTCAGAAGCAGAAAATTTCTCAAGTACAGCCCTAAGGGCCTGGCATACAGACCTTGCATAGAAACGGCAGACTTCATCGTTCTCTTCTTTGGAGGTGGTCATTACAAAAACATTCTTCATTCGGCATCCCAAGGTCGCAATCTCCGCTCGCTTTGTTATCAGATGAAGCGCGTCGAGCGCTTGTCTTAGATCAGATAGAAGCCCAGGTTTATAGTCACAACATAAAAGACGCCCTAATTGAAAAAGGCCTGCCTTCTACCAACTTATGATCTGGTTCCACTTTTACTTCATCAATGTCCTTCGGTATAACACAATCGGAATCTTCACTAGCTTCTGCTGCTTTCCGCTTTAGATCTTTCAAGTGGCTGATTACTTCAGCAAGTAATGATGCTTTGTCCATCTGAAAGTTCAAGCTAGCTAATCAGGTAACAAATTCCAAACATTGTATGCATAATAAGCACAAAAAGGAACTTTTATTATTGCAGTTGTATCACCATATATAGGCAATCAAGGTCTAAAATGACGTTTTATTATTATATTGGATGGCTTCTTATTGTATTCTACACAATCAGATTAATCACTTTACCTGAAAGTTGACGTAATTTTTAAGCATGCTTAACTATTTTGATTCATTTACATGCTTTATCACTCAAATTTCAATCTCACTCTTTTAAAACTGTACAATTATTGTATCCAATCAACTGGTATTAGTGCACTTGCAAAGGGTTTAAACAATTGTGTTCAATTATCAGATAAAAGAAAGAAAAGGAATAAAAGCTTCAAATTTGGCATAAGGATATGGAGTGTCGTTTTGTGTATGTTTGGCTATTGAAATACCATAAATTTCATCTCAGTTAACACTCATTAGTCATATTTCGGGGTAAAGCCAAAATTCCGCGCCTCAATTGGCAGAGGTGGAATTTGCTAAGAAAATCACATTATAAGCTGTCGAATTATGATTTTTGGAAATATAAAGCTATTTGTGAAAAAATTAAAAATATAAAAGAAGTTTTTGTAACTATCCCGTATGCTTCTGACATAACAAGACGCAAGCATCTTACTACATTTTAATTTGCTTCCAAGTTAAGCGTCAAAATTGGTTTTCGTCTCCAAACATTAAACTGTCAATTTTTCACCATAAAATGTACCCTCAATTACAGAAGGTCAAGTATGATAGTATACTTTCTTGCTCTTGAAACCTTCTTATCCTAGTATTTTTTAGGTCTACTGGCTAACTAGTAACATTGGCATTTGTTCTATGTCAAAAAAAAAAAAAGAAACAACTTTTCGTCATACAAGCTCATAGTAGAATTTAACTCAACCAAATCATATGAAAAAAAGAAAGGGAAAAAAAAAACATCAACCTTCTTTGCACCGGGAATTAGGCCACGAAGCGTGTCGAAATGCGCGTTAATCCTCGCTCTTCGCCTCTTCTCCGCCTCGCTGTGGTTCTTCAAGGCCTCAACACTTTTCTCCGCAGACACCATTTTCCTCTCCAACTTTACCGGAGCCTCCACAAGCTCTCCTCTCACACTATCTAAAACCAACGATGAAGACGAAGCCAAAGCCAAAGCCGAAGCCGGCCCATATCTCATACCAGAGTTCACCAAAACCCCATCATTTGTTCTCTGAAAACCAGAGTTATACACACCAGAACTCCAACAAAACGATCCCATTTTGAGATAACAAGTAAAGGGTATCACACTGAATATCACACCAATCTTGAACGACGTGTAGTTTTTAGGAATATTGGTCTTTCTTACTAACTTATAAAGTGTTCATGTTTGGTTTGAGATGTTTTTTTGGAACATAAGTGAGAAAACTTCAGAAGCAGAATTTATGAGAAAACAAAAAGCGCAGCAAAATTGGAGGCTTAGCAAGTGGTCAGTGACAGTGTCCACACTACAAAGGTTGAAACTTTGGGACAGACATTGATGCTTTCTTTATTGGAGAAGGTGTATCTATAAACATAAAAAATACAAACAATATCTTTTGTTTCAATCAAAAAGTTACAAACAATATTTAAACCCACCTCCTTTTTCTTTCTCTAGTCTTGAGTTCTTTTTTATACCCTATAACAAAATTATCATACTAAGGAGACGTTTAGTATGTAGATTCATATCATGATTTGAATCATAATTCATGATTCGTTATAGTGTTTTTCTAAAAAAAAAATACACGTAAATTAAAAATAATTTTAATCTCATAATTTTAATCCATAAACTAAACGTCTCGTAAAATTTTCAAAAGAACGTGAAGTACTAAAAAGTTACTACTATGAATATACTTTTTTGCCATAGAGTTCACTCTCCTCTGTGAGATCATTATCACAAAATTATCATACTAAGGAGACGTTTAGTATGTAGATTTATATCATGATTTGAATCATAATTCATGATTCATTACAGTATTTTTCTAAAAAAAAATACACGTAAATCAAAAATAATTTTAATCTCATAATTTTAATCCATAAACTAAACGTCTCGTAAAATTTTCAAAAGAACGTGAAGTACTAAAAAGTTACTACTATGAATATACTTTTTTGCCATAGAGTTCACTCTCCTCTGTGAGATCATAACGCTAGAACTCTCTATTACTAGACTTGGAAGATTCAACAATGAAGATATACACATAGATGACAAAAGAAGTTCATATATATTTTTTTTAAGTACAATGGACAAGATTCTACTAGCGACAAAAGGAATCACACACACGTGTTTCAGAAAATAATGATTAAAATAAAAGAGGGAAAAAAAAAATATGAGATACAATGCATAGCCCGTGAACACCAAAACCATAGGCTTAAAATGCCCCCCTTTTTTTTTTGTTTAGCAAAATCGTTTCCTTTTTCCCTAGCTATAAACTACGTTTATTATTATTTATTCAAATCAAAGTTATCGATTACGACAAGTAACAGTCAATTGTATCAAGATTTTCAAAGATGCGCAAACCTAACACAGTCATAAATTGTTGTTATGCGGCGCCCACTAAGATTGAAGTTATTGCTTGGACAAATTATAATCTGTTAATAATGAGTATTAAAAACTTTTCTAAAAAAATACACACATATAAACGTAATGGGAAATAAACTTATATAGCCATGTGGGTTAAAGAGCCAGCTCATGTCTTTGCAATACAGCCAATTAGCCCCTCCCCCACCAACCCACTCTCAAGTTTTCCAAATTATCACTCTAAACAATTTTGTGATAATGACAAAGTTAAATGGATTATTTAGACAAAGTGCACACTATCATAGGCATCTTTTTTTTTGGCTTTGGAGGCATTACTTTGTAGACAGTTTGTTTTTTTTTTTTTTCGCCTTTTGATTAGGTATCCGTAAAGGTTGCTAATTAACTATACCAAGGCATTAATTTTTTGATAGATTATCTTTTTTGTGATGTCACATAGTTTGGTTCATGGCTCTTTGTTTTAGTTCAAAGTTAAGACTCTGCTTTAGTGCCCTGGATGCTCAGAGGAGTCACGCTTCTATTATGGAAAAAACATAGAAAAAAGTATCTTCATTTTTTATCATTAAATTTTTATATTTATAAGTGTTTAATTTATATAATTCTAATTATGTCTTACCAATAATAGAGCTATATTTTTATTGAATGGGAGCATGTGCGCCCGCTTAAATTTTAAATTTTTTTTCTTGAATGAGAAAATTTCATTTAATAATTAAGTTGAGATTGGCTCTAATATTGTTGTAAATGATCCACAAATAGAAGGGTATTGGATTACGAACAAAGACTGGATCCACCGATAAAGACGAATAAGATGCAAAGGTGAACACGAGAACGTAAATGTTGAAATGACATAATCAACATTGCTAACCAGGACAAAAGTTAACAGCCACACGGACAAAATTACCAACGAAAAGCTGGCGAACAAGACCATAGAGGACAAACTGGCGGGACCCAATCGCCTCCACCATTAGTGTCGAGCGCTCATCCGTAAATAAACCCCACCTCTATGACCACGGCGATAAGAAGAGGGAGATCCCGAGGATGCAAGAATTCGTAGATCCAACACGCGACAACATAGTCAGCTAAAAACTTGACACCTTTTACCCGTCCACTATATGTATGAAGTGGCTGCCACCACCATGATCATCACCATGGGACCTAGACCAAAATCCCCGGCTCTAGAGGAAAAAAGAGAGCGACATAAAAAAAAAAAAAAAGAAACCCTAGAGAGAGGGGGGAATTTTTTGTGGCAATCTTGGTTTTTGCCCTAATTTTTAAAAAAAAAAAAATTTA